TAATTGCGTTAAAATTTTTAATCAGATTAATCATGATGATGGATTAATCCACATTAGCCCGTTAATTTTGACAGCCCTAATTATTATTATACTCACATTATATTTGTCAATATCTTTGACTTAGATGAAGATCAGATAACATTTTATGACAAATTAATGCAGAAAACCATGAAATTCCAAAAGGTTCACATACTTTTTGTTGCCACTGTATACGCTTATATATCAGGGGACAAAGGTGGTGTGGAACCACACCATGCTGCCAATCAACATAAAGGCTGCTACACAGCAAATGTGCCAGTGTTAAATTAACACTGCATGGTGTCTATATGAGTCCACACCATTCAGTGTTACCTTTAACACTTTACAGTGTGCAGTTAGTGTTGTTTTTACATTGTTAATCTTTATTAACTGTAATAGTGTTCAATTTACACCATAACGTGTTAAGTCAATGAGTCTCCACCTCCACACATCTGCCCCATTTTAATATGCGCACAAGTCATAAGGATCAGAAGTACCACCCCAGATTTACCCACCATCATGAGAAAGACTCTGACCAAAAAGGACGTTACAGTTTTTTCTTATTTTATATTGAAGCTTTGCTGGCTCAGTTCATACTGATCTTGGAGATTAGAGTGCTGTGGTTTTATAGCATGTTGGCATCAAGTCTGGGGAAAAAAATTGGGAAATGTACTGAACACGTTTCCTGAGTGTTATATATTTTAATGGTGTGGGGGTGTACTTAATTGCTGGTCCTGCCCTTGGATGATTAACATATGCGGAAAGGTGTCAGGACAGTTGTGATACCCTTTTCTGTGCAGCTCCTGGTAACACCCACTCCCCTGTAGACCAATGGTGCTGGATGTGTATTTGCATAGCATGACACAGTACTGTCTTTGACTTAATATGTTTTTTTTTTTTTTAATAGGGCAAGAGAACAAAAATCACAGAAATGGATGGCTTGGATGTGCTAGCCAGTGTCTAGGCTAGATGGTTTAGCCTCTACAGCTTAACTAGAGTAGGCATGTTACTATGAAGAACCAATTATTTAGTTTGTTTTATAAGCTCTCTAGGAAAGACATCCAGATATGCACTGCTGCAATTGAGGTTTCTTTGGGGATGTGCATATAGAACAACATTACTCCAATAAATTAGCATACTCGGGCAACCCAGAAGAACTAATGATTAAATGTGATAAAGACTAATATCAGTGCCATACCATCCTCTATCATGGTGGGTTTCTGAAAATTAAGCTTAATGAAAATCTGAAAATTAAATGAGCAAAGTGATTTGATTCGTTCTTCTTTCCAAAGTTGTGGTCTAAAACCAATAAGGCCACCACCCATTATATCTGCTTCAGCGGAAATAAACTCATTCAACCATTAAGATACCTCTCACCTTTTCTCAGCCCTTATGTTATGGAGTCTAACACAGTCCAGCTTCATAATCTGTGTTTGGTGACTGGTGCCAAACGTTTCACTCACTTTTATACCACAGGCAGTTTACAGGTGAACCTTTCTTATCCTAATTGAAGAAACCTATCTTATTTATGCTTACGACAAAAAATATGATATGTAAATGGTAATGAAAT